AGATATCGCAGTATCTCTTTTAGTCGCATTGTCCGGCGGCGTGTCAAAGTGATATTGAAACAAAGGCTCGGTCTTCTTGCAGGAAAAAAACAAGAACAGGGACAGGCTGCATAACAGGGCGATGAAAGCTATTTTCGGGGGCTTCATGGATTGGTACGATCAGTTAAAGGGTATGATGATTTTGGATGAAGAGAAGATCAGTTACTGAAGCACGACTTTCTTGCTCCGGCCATCGCTGTTACGGATAAAGTACACACCGGGCACCAGGTCGAAGATGTTCAGACTTTGGGTCTTATGGCTGCTTTTTACGCATTTGCCATTCACATCATAAAGCTGTACGGTCTCCGTTTTGCCGAAATACAACGTGCGCTGGGCGGGGTTGGGCCATACTTTAAAATCATCATCCAATATGCTTACACCCGGCACAGCTAGGGAAGTATCACCACCGGTTGGCGGTGCCACCCAACCACAACCTGTAGGGTTGGCAAAGTATTCTTCAAAATTGCTGACCGCCACCACTACCGATTGATGGTATGGCTGATCATTGGTTGTATTGGGATAACGCACGGAGAGAAACAACGGCGACCATTTCTGGTCTATTGAAAAGGCGGCCTGTAATTCAGCACCACGCGGCCCAATTGAAAACGGCCGGAGATCACTCAGCTTCGGATTTAGCTTTTGCATATCGAGGAAATAGATCTCCTGCATCAGGTCTTCCTGTGTATTGGCAGCAGGCGGGTTACGGTTGTATTCCTTGTTCGGCACTTCTTCGCAGATCACCATATAACCCGCAATACCGTTCGTTTGAGCCGTGCTGCCCGAAGGATACGAGTAAAGGAATCCGACAGATGAAAGCTGCTTCGGATTGGAGAAGGTATAGCGTTGATCCAGGGTACGGCCACCTTCAAGGTAGGGCTCTATTTTAATGGACACAGGACCGGTACTTACTTTTAATATTCTACCGAAAGGGTCTGCAAACTTCCGGTCGTTATCAGGGTCTCGTTGCTGGAGGTGGTAGGCCAGCTTACCATTATAAATTTTGGCTGGATTTGTAAATGCATCGCCATCGCTGTTGC